GTGTGTGTGTGTGTGTGTGTGTGTGTGTGTGTGTGTGTGTGTATTTTCATAATGAAAAATTATTTTAAATAATAATGGATAAAATTTTTTTATAATATTTTCTTTTTCTAAAAAAAAATTTATCTAAAGATTGAAGATAGATAGATAGTAGTTGAATAGAGAATTGGAAAGTTTAAATTGTTGAAATTTTTTTCCATAACTTGTTACTTTTCTCATATTTTTTTTGAAGTTGAAAGAACGAGTTTTGAATAATAAATTGTGCGCACTATTCGCTTTTTCACTGGAATTTCTGTGACGCATAAAATTCACACATTTTTATTTCTCCATTTTTATTGTATACATTATCATATGCATCCAACCAAGAAAATCGAACTTATAAATTTTTTTCGCTTTTTACCATTGATATGTTGACAATATTTTTTTTTTTTTTAAATTTTAATTCAGTAATATTTTTTATTCATTTATTATTTTTTTTAAAACAATTTTATATTATTTTTCATTAATAATGTTTTAACATAAAAAACGCGAAACGATACACACAATTAAATATAAAAATTTTAAGATAATAATTTTTATTGTATTTTTAAAAACCTAAATCTGAAAACTGAAATAAAAATTAATAAATAAACTTCAAAATATATTTTGTGTTATTAAAATTTTTTGAATGAACTTTTAATATGTATATTTATATTATAATATATGAATGTACATTCGAGTCGCATGAATACCGTTAAATATATAATAAAATAATTTTGCAAGTTAATTTTGGCTTTTGTTAATGTCTCGATGATATCCGGTGTATTTTCATATGAAATCCAATATAAATAACTAGATCAATAAATAGGTAAATAAATAGATCATTGTTGTAAAGATCAAAACTGTATTATTTTTGTCATATTATTTTTAAAAAAACTTTTAATTAATTTTAAATAGAAAAAAAGAAAAAAATGAAAACAAAAAACAATTTAAAAATACATTAAAAGTTTAAAATTAATTAATTAATTTTTCCTTCATAATTTGTCAATTTTCAATTTTCAATTTAAATATAATATATAATTTTCATAAACAATTAAAAATTCATTACATTTTTAATTAATTCATTAGATTTCAAAACAACTATAATCTATCATTCAATGAAATGCCAAATTCTTTATATTACGTTATTATTAAAACTATTACGAATTTTAATATATTCAAAATATTAATGTAATTTTCACGTTTACGTGTTTGATAACATCGATAATTTGTCAAATCTAATTAAAAGTTTCATTGATATAAGAATTATTCAGAAAAAAACACAATATCCTTGTCTATATATTTTTGTGATTTTATTATTCAGAGAATAGATTGTTTTTCAATTTATATTTTATATTATTTTTTTTTAAATAACGAATCGATTAAATATATATTAGTTATTATTATACATATAGTTTATGATATGATAGTTACGTGAATATTTTTCTATATAAAAAATTTAATTAA